ATTATTAATTTATTTATTATTATATTAATTTAATTATAATAAAAGTTATTTTAAAAGTATTATTTTAAATTAATAAATTTATTTATATTAAATAATTTATCTTTAAATATTTAATATACTTTAAGTTTAATTATTTTTATAAATAAGTAATAAATAGCTATATATTTATATACCTTTAGAATTAATTATTAAAATATTTAACTTTTAGTTAAAAGTAAAATTTTAAATAATAATAAAAGTAATAAGTATTTTATCTATATATATTTTTTTAGTATTCTTTACCTTTATAGCCTTAAGGCTAAAGCCTCTTTTTGGCCCCTTAACCCTATTACAGTTATTTATAGAAGAGGGTTAGGAAATCTTAATATTACACCAGTTTCTCTCTGAAGCTGTCATAATGAAGCATCATCAATTTGTGGACGGTTTATTGCGCTGGGTTACAAAAGTCATAAAACTGGCCAGTCAAGGATGGGGCGATAATGATCCACCATTCCTCATAGCAGTGCACCAAGAAGATGAAGACATGGTCGATCTCCTTCTCCGTACAGGTCAAATTGATATCAGAATCAGAAACGAAGACGGTTACACTCCACTCTTAATCGCCGTGGAGCTTAGGGACCTTGGTATCGTCAAGCTACTGCTTGAAAAAGAAATGATTGGTGGTAGTCAGGAGGATTTGGAGAAGATAGCATTCTCTTCTGTAAAGTCTATCGTGGATGAGTACCATGAGTACTATTATACGCCTCAGGCTGATTTCAGTTCTGGAATGATGCTTCTAAGGGACGAAAAGGAGAAGTTTCTTTGGTGGGCTGTAAAAGGTGAGAGGTTAAAGATGATTGAACTCATTCTTGACGAGAGCATGGTTGATACCAATCGGACGCTTCAAGGACAAACGTCACTCATGTGGGCTATTAAGAAGAGGAAAGAGGACATTTTGAAGGCTTTTCTCAGCAATTTGAGAGTTGATCTACATTTCGCCGACAAACTGGGACGAACGGCCCTTTCGTGGGCTCTGGACTATAGCAAGGATAGAATGGTTCTGCTACTGCTAAGTGGGAGAGGGTTCTCTATCCAAAGAGAAAGCAGCAACACTTCACGAAAATTGTTTTGGTGGGCTATCGGAAGGGGCAATAGTGGTGTGATCGATATGCTTCACGAATCTGGTAAGTACGATATCAATACGAGAGATCTTTCAGGGAAGACGCCGTTCCACTATACTGCTGAGACGTGTGCTGAGGAGGCCCTGAGGGTGCTTCTTGGGACAGGTAGGGCTGATGAACAGGCGGTTGATAAATGGGGTGACACAGCACTTTCGATAGCTATGAGGAGGGGCTACAGAACCATAATGGATCTACTGTCGGCTTACAATCATCGGAGCAATGAAATTACCACCAGAGCCGCAGACTAGTAGTAATGATAAAGCTTGAAGGAACACAATATAGAGTTTGAGCATCATGGTGATGAAGTGAAACGCATAGCCACATCAACTATCTCCAGGCCTTCCCTGGGGCATATACAGCCCTTCTCCAAAGGGAGTGGGTTTACCAGGGAAGCTCCTGTCCTTTGTAACTAAGAAACTTACCCGAGACACTTCCCCGCGTGGCACTATCGATAATTCCAAGACTACCTTTTACTGCTTCCTCGACGCCCTCAAACATAGCATGGGGAAATCCCCACTCCGTAGCAGCAGACTCGCCCATTTCCGTATTAACAAAACCAGGATGGAGTGCAAAAGCTACCAAGCCCTCATTCTGCAAATGCAGAGCACGCGTAAGCCAGTTCAAGGCAGCCTTGCTGGGTCCATATGCACCAGCGACTACTTCATGGTAGGTGATACAGCCAACAGATGATGAAACATTGATCATCTTGGGAGCAGATGACTGTTGCAACAAGGGCCAAACTCCCTGGACCACTGTAAGGGGGCCGATTGTGTTGATGTCGAACGCAGAACGAAGGTCATCGGTCGGGATGTCGAGTACAGGATAAGATTTGAAGCTGGCGGCGGCATTGTTGACGAGAACATCGACGTGATCAATGTCGAAAGCCTTGCAGATCTGGTGAGGAGAGAGCGGGGTAGTAAAGTCCAACTGCACAATGCTCAAAGTTGTGCCGTCACCCTTTGCGAGATCGACAGTAGCATCACCGAGAGATGTGTGGGCTTGGTCATCGCGAACTGTGGCGATGACAGTGACGGAGGGACGAACAAGGAGGGCTTTAACGAAACCAAGGCCGATGCCTCTGTTGCCGCCAGTGACGACCCAAACAGAGTATCGCTGGAAGCCATAATGATGTAAAGGTGATATGGAAGTGGAATAAAGCTGGTGAGAGAAGAAAATAAAGGAGAAGGTAAATATCATGTGTTCTGGCATAAATTACATCTTATAAGTAATGAGGCATAACTGACTAATGTTGGCTTGAGCCAATTAACTGTAGAGTAGAAGGGAAGATTTATTATCCGGCTTACATAGAACAGCTTGGCAATGTGCACGACCAACAATAAAAGGGGGGGTTAGTACTGAGAAGAGTACAGACGTAGGAGGGGCAGAGATTTATAGTACTGCATATTATCATATCATCATTGCAACAGGACTAGAGAGATTTACTCCATTGCTCTCCACTCTACTTGACTGGTTTGCTTAACAGAACGGCGAGTGATATTATCGAGTTATATATATTAAAACAACATTACACAGCCTTGAAGGTCTAATCATTAATAATTAACCAGCCTATGTGCCAGACCGCATCTTATGATACTCTTTCGCTGGATGTCTGCATACAAGGCTTCGGGCTCCAATAACGCAGACCCTAGAGCACCCTCAAAGCCCTCTTGATCAGGACAGCCATTTGCTTGTAAAGCCTCGTTCTGGCCTTTATCTAGATTTGATGCGAAGATACCTGCTGCAGAGAATGGGAGGAAGTCTTCATATGTGATAGGTTCGGCTGTGAGATATCCCTGGTCAATCAAGTCCTCGAGCGATGGCGTCCCTGTGATATCAAAGCTTCCTTTATCTGTACCGTGGTAAGTACAGTAAATGAGGCCTTGTTTGCGTAGCTCTGACCACGAGTCAGGATAGTCTTTAAAGGCATCACCCATGGCCTTGTCCATTGCCTCGAGGCTCTGCGCACCCGAACCCTCGCAGATGGTGCTTGTGGCCTTGGCCAACAGCTCATCGTAAAGCTTTCTCCCCGCAATTGTCACTGCAGCTCCTCGCTCCTCGATCTCTCCAAATCGAGCGCGATGACTTCCTTGGATAAGATCCCCATTGGCGTCGCGGAATCTGATCTTTTCTTCCAGGGCTAGGAAGCTCGTTTGACGGAGGAGAATTGGGCATTGACGTGAAGGGGGGCCCTCGATGCGATCCTTGACCTGAAGGCCTTGCTTTCGCATTTGTGCCTGACTAGCATCGATATCCAGCGTTCGAGGTGTCAAATGGTTGATATGCGCAGTCTTGAATGAGGCGATATCAGCAATTATAGGATGCTCCCTGGATAACTTTCTGTATTCTTCTTCTGATGCCGAAGCTTCCGGCATCCAACTGAAAGTTTTCATTGCCTCATGAATAAATTCCTCAACTTCATGCATCTCCAGGAGCCAGTTTTGTCTCTCGGCACAGTTTATCAAGTCCAGAAGTCTGTCGCTGAAGATATGGCGTCGTGACAACAACTTCAATGCCAGCTCACGGGTGTCGGCGTTGGTGATCAACTCAGGCCTGAGCAAAGTTGTAAACACCCTGAACGGGTTCTGGTTCAAGGATTCTAGGTTGACTGGACGAAAGCAAGTGCCATGCATGGGTAGTCCAGCGACAGAAAGATCGTAGTAACCCACTGCCTTCAGGCCAAGAATTGCAAAGAGGCGGGCCATAGTTCGTAACTCAAACGGGGTGCCCAGTCTGATGGCACCGTGTCTCTCTAGGTCAAGTCTCTGAGACAGAAGAGAGTCTTTTATCGGGTCCGGTTGCCCAGAAAGCAAGTCGGTATTTACTGCGTGGACGATCTGGACCAAATCCCCATAGACGGGGACTTCATTTCGGTACACTGCGGACAATGACAGTGTGAAGGCAGTTCGGACATCGACAGGGCTTGCAAAATCATCGCCTCGATACACGAGGGATGGTTCAGTCGAGATCGATAGAGTGTTGATAGCAGGCATTTTGGTTGTAATGAACAAGAGGGAAGAAGGATGAAGACTGATAACAGCCGATACTAAAAGGAATTGCCTGTAGCAGTCAGTGTATATATATGGTATATAGAACACGATGCTATATTGCCTCTCCATGCGCAACACTTGCATCATATGATCCGTCGGATAGTGCCGAGGATGTACAAGGTCAAAGCTTGGGTGTTGGGATGAGCCCCATCAGCCAATCACGGCGGCTACCGACGGCGATACGGCGTTACCATCTATGGATTGAAGCGCTATCAGTCGTATAAGACAATGAATTACCCACTACCAAACACACCAATCTTAGCGCTACAACCAAGTTTTCATCATGTCTTCTACAATTACCACAACAGCTTCCATGGCATCACTCTCTACGAGCCAACCCAAAAGTAGACTTCATCAAATTCCTCAATTTCAAACCCCCGAAGCTACAAGACGATGGCAATTGGAGCAAATGGCGGGCGCCTTTCGCATATTTGCCAGATTGGGCTTCGCTGATGGGGGGAGTGGCCATATTAGCGTTAGAGGTAGGTTTGTATAGTCTATAGTGAGTCAGTAATAAGCTAACCTGTAGAGCAGACCCGGTTCAGCCCGACACGTTTTGGCTCAATCCTTACGGGGTCCATTTCGGCCTCTTGAAGGTGTCCGATATGGTTCATGTCAACGAAGACGGAGACCGTATCGGCGGTGCAGACAGACCCGTGAATACTGCCGGCTTTATTATCCATGCAGCTATCCATAAACGACGCCCTGATATCAATGCTGCATGCCACTTCCACAGCCCTTATGGCCGCGCATGGTCTACGTTTGGGAAGCCGATAGATATATTGAATCAGGATAGTTGCATGTTCTATAATGACCTTGCGGTGTATGCCAACTTTGGCGGTGTCGTCTTTGCTAAAGAGGAGGGCATGCGGCTTGCTGACACATTGGGTCCGACGAAGAAGAACCTGATACTACAGAATCATGGTATTTTGACATCAGGCGGTACTGTTGCAGAAGCAGCTGCCTTGTTCATCGCCCTGGAAAGAGCTTGTCAGACACAACTACTAGTTGAATCGTCTTTGGCCGGTTCGGGATTGCAAAAGACGTTTGTAGGTGACGAAGAGGCTCAGTACACAAAGGATGGGACTGGAAGCCCCGAGGTTATGTATATGCAATTTGTGCCCGAGTATCAATACATCCTGGCGAAGACTGGGGGCGACTTTCTGAAATAGAACGGTTTATTTAATTTAAGATGTTTCAATCACTATGACCAAATGCCATCATGCGATTTGTTTCTCTTCCCACAATAGATGCCTAAAGACGTAATTGGTAGCTTCATATACAACAAGATCACGATGTTTTAGATACTATAATCCAGGGTAAGCTTCTATGAAGCAATAGAGTATCCCAGTGCTGTCGCCAAGGTCTTCACAATCAGTAAGTCACAATGACGTATGATTGATCCCAAGAGTTCAACGATGGCCGCATTCACGCACGGCACGAGCGACTGCGGAAATGGGGACTGGGGGTTATCAACTATCGTCTCTATGTGTTCCCAGTATCCGATGCTTTCCAGGCCGACGGATTTCGTCTCGTCAACCCCGAGTAGAACCACAAGGCCATTGTATAAACATCGTATACCGGCAGCTGAATTGCATTTTGAATGCTATCGGCATAAGGTGGCATGTTTGTACACTCCAAGACCACTGCAGATATGTCAGGATGCCGATGCATTAGCGACTTTGCCTCAGCGACAAGTTCCCTCTCCAACCGACCAGCATCATAGCTCGCTCCATGAGCGCAAATATCCCTGAGATGGCTCTCATCCGAGAGTCCCTGTACCCGGACGCGGTTAGGATCAATGCCCAGCTCCAGCAAGTGAGCGTTTCCCAGTCTCCCACTGTCATATGTTAACACCCCGATAGGTCTGTTAACCGGGAAAATGGACAAGAGGCTGGGAACTTGAACGAGAGCCGACGTGGCCACTGGGATGGGTGACAGGGCTGCTAATCTGACATGTTTAGCGGGTGATGTAGTAACAGGATGGGGTTGGAAGTCCCAATACCTGGTTTGGGCAGCGGCCAAGAAACCGCAGCTGGTGATAGCGCCAACAGCCCCTCTCTCCGCGAGCCTTATCGTGGCTTGCACAAAACGATCGATGAAAGCATCTTCGTAATCGCCATTGGTGACAATTTGGGCCTCCGATGTGCCTGTCACCTTTTCGCGGATGAGGGGAAAGGGCCATGTATCCTGGTTAAAGGGATCGCCCGGGGGACGGTGAATGTCAACTTCTACAGCGAGGAAGCCCAACGGCGGTCCTGAATCTGTGTTCTCTCGTGCCATTATCGCTTCTTGGATGGCTGTCCGAAAGGTGAGGCTCAGAGATTCCATCAACACATCCCGTTATTTCATCTGTAAAGTCATCGCCCAGACAGGGTTGGCTTAGTGGTGCGGGGGTTCATTCCTCACCAATCACGGGGCTTGCCGGCAGGTTTTGGCTGACTTCGGGGGTTTCCTTGTCGATCTTTGCTGCTTTGGGGGCCACGATTCGACCAGGCATTGAAGATTGCGCATCTCGGTGCATATAGTTAGTTGGTCAAATCGCGATACCTTGGCCGTCGTGCAACTTCTCTACTCCCAGTCCGTACATTCATCCATCATGTCTCCAAGCCGCACTTCTCAGAGACCCCACGTTGTTAGCCTGGGAGCGCCTAAATTCGCCGGCGCTGATTACCTGGAAGCCTTTGCTCGAGACCATGACTTTGACGTGCTTGACGCCAATGATCGCGCCGAGACTCAGCGGCTGTTGCCAGAGTTGATCAAAGAAAAGGGTCCTGTAGATGCTTTTGTCATTCGCATGGGCACGCCGCCTTTTGAGCCATTTGACGAGGGTCTTTTGAGTTCGTTGGCGCCCGACTGCCGCATCATCACGTCGGCATCTGCTGGATACAACGAGTTTGATGTTGATTGGATGTCCAAGAACAACATCCTTTTCTGTAACTCAGTTGATGCTGTTGCAGAGGCTACAGCAGATATGGCCATCTTTCTCATCTTGGCTGTTCTCAGAAACACTTCCAAGGCTGAGCGCACAGCAAGGGCTGGCAAGTGGCGAGGAGAGCCTGGCTCGCTTATTCCAGCTCGTGATCCCACCAACATGACGCTAGGCATCGTCGGTATGGGTTCCATCGGAAAGGTATGCATCATCATCCTACCCTTTACTTCTTTGGCATCTGTCAGCTAACTTAGGATTAAAGTATCTCGCAAAAAAGGCCGCAGTTTTCAACATCAAGATTAAATACTACAACCGTCGCAAACTCCCCCACGAGGTGGAACAAGAGTACAATGCGACCTACTGCTCTTCCCTCCACGAACTATTATCTCAGTCTGATATCGTGTCCCTCAACTGCCCGCTGAATGAAAAGACCACTGGCTTGATCGGTCCAGCAGAATTTGATGCCATGAAAGATGGAAGCTTTTTTGTGAACACGGCTCGAGGAGCTATTGTCAACGAAGCCGCTCTTAAGTCGGCACTGGAATCGGGCAAGATTGCAAGGGCGGGTCTTGATGTGTTGGCGAATGAGCCAAACGTCGATCCATGGTTCTTGGAGCAGGACAACGTTATTGTTCAACCGCACCTCGGCGGTTTGACGGATGTCGCGTTTCAAAAGGCCGAGAGGGAATGTTTTGAGAATATCAGAGCGTTTTTCAAGACTGGCAAGGCCAACAGCCCCGTCAACGCGAACCGCGTAGGTGCTAAGATGTAACTGAGCGGAATACACAAGAACTGTATCGACATTGATTGTCGCGGCTCAGTTTAAATTCTCCATAGAGTCAAAAATACAAATTGACAATGGCTAAGATTATTGTGGTTGGTGCAATTTCTCGTTGATAATGACCTGAATAGTGCTTATTTGGGTTGATTTGGTGATGATGAATAATTCTTTTTGGGAGAAGTTTATGGAAGCACTAATATACTGTAATCTCACCTATGATTAGAAATTGGCTAATTCGATACCCGGATCTCAACACGTGTCATGACGCAATAAAAGCGTGGATGATCGCGTAGGAGTCATCCAGGTATGGCTCTAGATGGTTCGACCAATACATTTGCCACAATTCAATCACGGCCGTGGAAGAAGCGATAGGTCTGTGAATTATTGAATAACTACTACCTAAGAAAGTACGGGACTCAATTGCAATTACCAATGCTACACCTATCTAATATTTCCGTACAAATCAGTCATCAGTTCCAATCCCTGGTTCGCGACTCCGACCTTATGTGCTACATATATGGAGTTGGAGTTATAGCATCCTGCTGATTCTCAAGAATCAGTCTGCTTGCTTGTTGTCGCAATTTGATCGTACTTGGAATCAAGGCTCTCTGGGCTACTGGTTAATGTTGTAAGCTGAATTGCCTTAACACATGTGCTGACAATATAGCACTTACTTCTCCTCATCAACGACAGACCCTGAAATTGTAGTTACGTGGAGCGTCTTGGCCTTTGATCTGATCTGCCACCAAGGGCACTCAAACAAAGCATCTATGTGCTCGAGGGGTAATCCTGCAGTCTCAGGGACAGCGAAGAATACGTAGATAAGTGCCACGAGACACCACCCTGCAAAGAAGATAAAGGCTCCCCAGTTGTGCATGCTGGATAGAATAGAAGGGGTTGCCCGATTGATGCCAAAATAGAACAGCCAGTGAAAGGTCTGGCTTAGTGCTGAGCCGAATGATCGAATGCTGTTCGGCCAAAGCTCCGCCCCGAAGACGTATGGAAGAACTAGGAGGCCTTGATTGATGACTATTAGAGACATTAAGTATCGGGGGAACTAAACAAGGACTTACCGACAGCGTAGCCGAACCCATGAATAAATATAGCTGCGATCGCGGCGGTGGAAGCACCTGGAGCAACAGAACCATCCTGGTGACTCTTGATATAGGCTCCGAGGTAGACATCAGAAATCAGCTGAATGGTAATTCCGATGAAGAGAGACTTTCGGCGTCCCAGAGCATCAATGAAAAAGAAGGAGGCGATAAGCGTGTAAAAGAACTTAGATAGGGAGTACATACTCGACAGGAATAGGTTGTTCCCGTGAGCGCTGTTTATTCCCATCAATGAGAGAATCGGCACCAGGTAACTGGTAACAGAGTTCGCACCAGAGAGTTGAGCCAAAAGGTATGAGATCAAGGATTGTTGGACTCTTCGAAGGTTTCCAGGTACCATAAAGGTCTCTCTCAGGATATCTCTCAGACCGCCGCCTGAAGCATATCGTGACCTTTCAGCTTGGATCTGGTGCTCAATGTCTGCGATTTCTCCAGCGACGCGGGGGTGATCAGCTGGTAGACCTCGTAGAGCAACTAAGGTCTCAATAGCTTCTTCCTTGCGGCCAACCAACATAAGCCATCGCGGAGACTCGCATGCGAAGAAGCTTGCAGCAATAATGATACCGCAGATGATGGTAGGAAGGAACCATACCAATTGGTATTGGAGATGAGAGGCGGGGAGGTGGAGGAAACAAGCATAGACGGTCAAGGTACTGATAGTTAAGCTCAGAAGCATAACAACGCTAAACCATACGGTCAGGAGGCCACGAATCTCGGTCGGCGCGATCTCAACAATCGACATGGGGCCCGTGACAGTCAAAGGACCGATGCCAAGTCCAGACACAAAGCGAGCAGTGTAGAGAGCACCCTTGTTTCCATAAGAGAATGTTGCAATAAGCTGACCGATAATCCAAATAGCAAAGTAGAGTCGCAGTGACCAGAGGCGTCCGATTCGATCGTTGATGAAGAACGACAGGGCGGATCCAACGCCCGCCGTCAGGTAGACGAATGATATAAAGTTGGCGACCTCGCTAGGATTCGCAGCAGAGGTAATACCGAAAGCCTTCGAGAAGCCTGGGAGAGACGGGACGACGGAACTGGAGCCTTGATCCCACGCTGCAACAGGTTAGAGATGGTCTGATGATAATGAAGGGAACTAACTGATGCACAAGCCGGACATGGCATAAAGAGCCGAGGAGACGAGGAGCTGACGGTTATAGATGACTTCTCGTGGCGAGTTTCGAATGCTGCGGACATGTTTGCCGAGCGAAGAATCGCTGAAATATCGGGCGAGATGCATCTTGCAGATAATGCAACGGTGATCTTGGTCAAGAAGTTGAGTCGAGGAAGTTGAGAAAAGTGACCAAGGTAACCGATTATATCATGTAATTAGATTAAGAATTTAGCTCAAGATATATCATCGCGTCTGTTACTGTGATAATCGTTGTATATACCAAAGTGCTAGAAGCTTGAACTGTCACGCGACGAGCTGTCTAGACTACCCTGGATTGCTTATCTCGCTCCCACATTGTTATCGTTGAGCTGGATTCTTCCGGGACTAGGCCCGATATAGATTAAAGCGAGGTATCGCTATCTCGGAATCCACCGAGTGGCTTGTCATGTGTTCCATTGACCGTATCATCTCAAAGTGTACTAGTCAAATCTCAGCATTCCTACCAGTAATCCCCATCAACAGGCGCTAGCTTGGCCAGGCAATTTAACACGGCAGCGACAGCCAGACAGGCACGTACGTTGGCGACAGTAGAGGTCAGCACGCTTTTACCATGTCGATTGCTTTGCAGAAAGAAGACCCTATCGTGATCGTAGGGGCGGGCATTTTTGGTCTCAGCTCAGCTCTGCATCTCGCCAAGAGAGGGTACAGCAATGTCACTGTATACGACAAACAAAACTACGACGAAAGTCTCTATTCTTATCAGAAAGGCTCCGATGCGGCCTCGGCAGGTGATTAACGCTCTATCAATCTTTGTCGATACAACTAACGGTTTCAAGATCTGAACAAGATCATCAGATCATCCTACGGGACTCAGATCGAGTACCAAGAGCTCTCGGTCGAAGCAATAGACATGTGGAATCAATGGAACGCCGACCTGGCTGACGGAGAAGTGCCACCCGGCATGAGTTCGAGCGATAAAGTCTTCTGTAATAATGGAGCTATCTCCTTCAACGAAGGCGATGAGCTACCCCCCTTCGAAAAAGCAACTGTCGAGAACGCCAAGAAGTTGCATTTGACGAATCAACTGATAACAACTGCCGCCGACGATGTGAACACGGCGAACGATCTCGGTTTCGATTGCGACCAATTCAAAGCCAGTGCTCGGGGAAACTCCATGGCGGGTATCCTCGACACAAGCGGTGGATTCGTCGCTGCTGATAAATCGTGTCGTCTCGCCCTCTACAAGGCTCGCAAGCATGGCGTCAAGTTTGTTTTTGGTCTCGAGGCCGGAGCATTTCACTCATTCATAAAGCGAGGAGGAGATATCGTTGGTATTCGCACCAA